TTTTTTTCCGCTGTTTTCTTTTTGAAAGTAGGATCTTTTTTCGTTTTTTTTTCAGACTTTCTTCGTTTTGGGGGGCAACGTGGGGGGAAATGTAGTAACGTACGAAGCAGCCTATCCTGGGAAGATACGGGCGCTTCTGATAGTGCACAGTTGGTTTGCTTTGAAACGAGTGCAGGGCGAGAAAAGAAAACTTAGGGCCTCCGTCCGGCCCTGTCTGGATGCCACATCTAAATCTTAAAAAACCGCCCAGCATTTTTCCACAGCGGCCCAAAATGGAAGAAAACGACCTGGGCCGCCTGAAAAAAAAATTGGGCTACCCCCCATTTTCCCACCATCCGGACCACGATCCGGAAACCTGGACTGGACGCCGGACATCGGTCAGTCCGGATCCCTGTCCGGCTGTCCGGATCGTAGCTATGGAATTAAGCGAATGAAAATGACTCTTCAGTCGTTGGGAGTTAAAAGCTTGCAGAACAGGCTGTTGAGCGAATGCTTCCACCCAAGCAGGTCGGGGCTGCCCTACCTGACATGGCCCTTCCAGCAGCACGACACTCTCAGCAAGCTCAGCTGCTTCCAGGTCAAATGCCTTGTGTGTATCAGGCAAGCCTCCTGATTTTCAGGGCCTCCTCCGGTATCCAGCTGCAGACCGAACCCTTTTCCTTCCAACAAGGCAGAACAACTGAGCAGAATAATCCACTTGAGGAGAGGAACAGGTGGGGTAAACAGTATAGTGGGGTGTCAATGTCTGGCCATCTGGGAAGGCACCTGCTGAGAAAAATGTGAGGACTCCCCTCCAGAACAGGGAGAGATGAGAAGAGGAACATGACAAGAGGAGAGGGTATGCCCATGCACCTGCGAGGTTATTTCTCTCCTGTGAAAATGAGAGGTTGCTCTGAGGATATCAACCGCATAACAACGTAACAATCGTAAAATAATATTGTGCATGCACGTTAACTTCCTTGGGGACAAAACTCTGGGTGATGCTTCACCCAATCCATTAATGTCATTGACATCGGGCTTCTGTTTTCTTTCTGACAAGAAAAAAAGTAAACTGAAGTTACTCAACACATACAGACACAAGAAAAAAACGACAGAAAAACTCGACAACCAATCACTCACCTTGACACGAGTCCTGTCAACACTTGCAAGAAGCCCCACTTCACCATAACCGATCCTCTCTCCAGCTTTCAAGATCACTTCTCCTTCCATGATATCACAACCCTGGTGCACGTGTGCACACACACACACACACACACACACACACACACACACACACACACACACACACACAGAGGGAGAGTCAGTTCGCTATCCGTGGAAACTTCCATCATATCACAACCCTTGTGCACGTGTGCACACACACACACACACACACACACACATGGAGAGTCAGTTCGCTATCCGTGGAAACTTTGGGCCAATAACAAATGGCAGCTGTCAGCCAAGAAAGGCGCAACCATCAGCGGACAAATGGTGAGTTTGGTAACTGTTGCTCAATAAAAGCTGATAACTCCATTAATTGTAATTCTGGCCATTGACCAGTAACGGTAAGCAATTGGTCGGAACATATGGGATACCTCTCGGTCAATGCAAGGTACCCGCTGGTCTTCTGAATGGTGACTGCAGGTGACGAGGTGTTAACTATCGGACAACAAGTGGTAACCATTGATAACTAGATGGTTCCTGTTAATTCTCTTCTTCGGAAGCAAACTCCTCCAATCTATATGACTGGGAAGCTGCACCTGCTGGAAACTTGGTCCACCATCCCCATAAATAATAATACAAAACCAGTGCAAGAGCTTATCCTAGTGGCATCAACCAATTCACACGAATGCAGAAGGCAGCAGATGATTTGCACACACCACACGTCCTGCCATCACGGTGGTTGCGAAAGAGAGAAGAGCGCGGGAAGGAGAGAGCAAGAGAGAGAGAGAGAGAGAGAGAGAGAGAGAGAGAGAGAGAGAGAGAGAGAGAGAGAAAACGAGAGGCTTCCTACCTTTGGCTACGGCGGTGAAGGGCGCGGCTAAGGAGGCGGCGGCGGAGTAGGCAGAGGGCAGGCGAGGATGGAGGAGGAGGAGGAGGAGGAGGGTACGATGGAGGAGGAAACCAGCTGACAACATGGAGGAGGAGGAGGATGGTATGGCAAAAGAGGGCCGTACTATGGAAGAGGAGGGCAGGAGGAGAAGATAACGATGGACGAGGAGGAGTATAAGTGGTCGAGAAGGATTGAGGAGGAGGTGGCTCCAATCGAGGGATGGAGGACCAGGGGGAGCAGGCGAAAATGGGCAGGGGAAGCTTTCAGGGAGCCGCTTGACAAAGCTCAAGAGAAGGTCGAGCGAGATCGAGGTGAAGATCCTTTAGAGTTGCTGCCAACTATGACCGAGGAGGAGGAGGAGAAGGAGGGTAGAGGAGGATGGAAATGGAGGAGGAAAACACGGCAGTGTAGTCTCTTTTTAAGACAAAATGCTGGTGATGACCTGTGATGATGACAAGTAAGAGGGTATGACGGAGGAGCGTACAACAGAGGGGGGTGGGACACAGGAGGAGGCGGCTCGGAGATCATCATTGGCATGGTGAGCGGCTTTGTACCAACGACCGAGCCACGCTTTCTTGGGATGAACAATCAATCAATCAACCAATCAACCAATCAGTCCAAATTCCACCCCCCTCCAAACTATCTACTGTCACTCTGCATTCTTGACAAGTCTTCGGTGTTCATCAGGGAAAACAAAAAACAAAAAAACGACAGCGATGATGGTAAGTTATTATTATCATCGCCCGCTGCTCCTCTTTGTCAACCGCAGCGGCGAATCTATCATCATAAGCAGCAATGATGATGATAAATATCATCATGAGCGATAAGCAAGTTCGTGTTCAAGGCAGCTTTCACACTGAGCCCAAGAATCTCTCTCTCTCTCTCTCTCTCTCTCTGGGCACCCAATACTGGGAGCCCTGGGTGCCCACGCAGAGAGAGAGAGAGAGAGAGAGAGAGAGAGAGAGAGAGAGAGATGAATTTGAAATGAATGCAAGAAGCTGCACCGAGGATCCAATCTGAGGTCTCTCGATCAACAACTCATGAGTGCACGACTCATCCCCTTGCCCGGAAAGGACGGAAAACATCCCAACATGAACGGACAACCTCGGCTCGAATCCTGAGCAACTTGAGCGCGTTACTGCATCAAGAGGTGTGACCTTACTGCTTTGACTGTTCTCCGTTCTCTGATGCACTCTTCCCCTCCTGCTCTTTGCCACCCGGCCGATACTCGTCCCTGCACTGCACCCCACTTGTTCCCTTTCAATTACCACTACCTTTCTCGCTGTGGCGACTTCTCAAGCAAGTAGGATACTTTGTGATATTACTTGCCTCGGCGCAAGGCCGGCACCCGTCGCTGCGATTGTGAAGAAAATCCATAAGGCAAAACCAAAAAAAAAAAAAGGAACTGAAAGCTACGACATCAATGATGTCAGGGAAGGCCTTCACGAAGGGCTACTCACACTTGTTCTTACCACAATGCATGTGGCCACTATTAGGGGACTAGGGGACCACTTGCACTCCGAGAAATAACGGACTGCATGGGGGTGCCTAGGCCAAGGGGAAAAAAGCCTTGGCACACTCGAGACACTAGAGAGGGGTGTCTCAAGTGTGGAGCAAGTTGAGACGGTAAACGACAACTGTGAGATGAGGATCTTGCGGCCGGGAATAACCGATGCACTGGAGACACATGGGAAGGAGGAATTGGGACTGTTGGGAACTAGGAGGTGCCGAATAAAAATGGGACGTCGTCGAGGACAAGGCCGGGGACTACATGGGCCCAAATAAAAATAGTCGAAAATTGGAACTACCGACGGGGCTAGAAAATAACACTAGTATGGGATGAGTGGCAGGGACTTGAGTGTCCCAAGGGAACTATGGGCTCCTCATGGAGAATAAACACAGCAAGTGACACCGTCCAGATCAAGATCTAAACGGTGGAAAATATTAGCAACCACTAGTGCCAACACTAGTGGAGCCAAGGTAGGAAAAATTTGGAGGCAAGGAGGAAGAGAAATAATGATGGGAGGCCTACCTTGCAGTCCGAGATATCTCGGACTAGCAAGGCATGAGAAAATAGAGCCCCAAGGGGCTCTATGCAGAAAATAGGCTTCCAAGGAAAAATCGGAGCAAGGGGGGTCGAAAATTTGAGACTAATGGAGGCAAAACAAGGGCCTCATGAGTGTGGAGTCTTCATTATTGTGATCCGAGAAATAACGGACAACAACTTGATCCAGATCTGGATCTGGATCAAGACCCATGGCCTAGAAAAACAGTCTTCAGCTGCTTGACACTTGTCACAACAAAAATAAAAGAAAAGAGAAAAGAAGAAAAAGGGGAGAAAAAGAAGGGAGAAAAGAGTGGAGGAGAATTTGCCAGTCAATTGGGACTGGCACAGTAAAAATTGGCAAGTCCCTACTGAAACCTCATCACTCCGGATTTAGTGGAGGTCAATCCGGAGTGAGGAGATACGGCCCTTGAGGCATTATCTCGACAATATCTGAATTAAAAAGGCAAAAATGAGAAAAAAAGCAAAAGAGGGTAGGCCAGTTTTCTCTTGGACCATGGATCTGCGATATGAGATTCAAATATGAGATTCAGATCGATGGACGAGGTGATATGGCCGTTTTTTGTGAGGCCAGGTCAACACCAACTCCGAAATGAGTTAGCAGCCCAAAACGGAAAGAAACAAAAGAAAGATAAAAATGGAACAGTGCATTTGGCCGAAAATAAGGGTCAGATGTACCAAAAACTAAAAATGTAAGCAATGAGCCTCAAATTTGAGGCAATGACCACTTGGGGGTAACTCTTATTAATGTTGGCTTGGATCTCAGCCAGATCCGAGGCTGAAAGTGTACCGAGGCACAAGAAAATGCCTCGACCTACTCCAATTGGGGAGAGACTAAAGAAAATCGAGAAAAAAAAAACAGGCCCTTTTCTCTCAAGAAAGGGCTGCCCCTGGAATATTTAGACTCAAGGGGCAACATCTAAAAATGAAAACGGGGCATGAGAAGGCTCTAGAGGCAGTCCGAGTTGGTACCACCCACTCGGACTGCATGTAGTCGGCCAAAAAGAGGCCCAGGTACTCCCGAAGAGGCCTACTAGTGAAAGGGGGCCTTGGGGGTACCTCGGTTCACTGTGGGCACATGGAGAGGTCAAGGTGCTGACCGAAGTGTTGTACCCAACCTATATAAGTTGGGGAAGCAGCCCACCACATTCACATTTGCATGAGGCAAGTACATGCTGCCCGCATGAGCCCAAGAGAGATCGACATTCAACTGGAGTGAGAGGAGGGGAACCGCTGCCATTTTGGGAGCTTGGAGGAGATTGTAGGCTAGTGGGAGAGGTTGTTGAGGCTGGTGAAGGTAGTGCTAGCCTAGGGGAGTGATCCGCTGTCGAGCGCATCGGCTCCTGCTTTTTTCGCGAAGCGCGGGAGCCCTCCTGGCCATGTCACGCAGGAGTTGAACAAAGCAAAATAAGAAACAACTCGGGAACAACACAAAAATAATTATGCGAACCACCAAGACGGATGGGGTTGCATCGCTTTTTTCACCGCTCTATCCGGGTGCGCCAGCTGTACATCCCACGGTCCCCTACGACAGAAAGGTTTCCGCAGGGCACATCTTGCCTTCCCCGAGGGCCTGTCACCAGCCTCAGGGGCGTATCTCTTCCGAGCTACTGACCTACGCGCGAAAGCTTTTACATGCATTTACAGAGGTAGGTCAGCCGAGGGCGTTTACTCGTTCACTGGAGTATAGGTACGCTTGGTTAACGCCAAGTGAACCCAAACGTTGTCCGTTCCCTAGGGCGCTGATCTCCTAGGTACGAAATGAACGCCGGTCGACTAGGACGGTTTCAACCAAGCGTGAAACCCACAATATAATCCTAGTCCCTTTATAACTCTTTGGTCGCAAAACAAATAAAATCGATATATCTTATATCCAATTACGTAAGATGATTTTTTAACTTGATGAGATGATCTGCCAAAGTCATGCTTCCCGGCCTATATGACTGAAGAGACTTTTATATCGCCGCTTCCCAGGCGGAGGCTCGATATTGACGAAAGATCAGGAAAGGACAACCTAACCTTTGACATATGGTTAAGTCCATCAACGCCTACTAAACCCTACTAAGAATAAATTCCACTACTACCATGCAGACCAACAAGTGATCAGGTTCCTGGCCGAAG